TTCAGAGCAATTTTTTAAAAATTAAATAAACTGGCAAGTGTTTGCTTTCTAGTGTTTTGAAATCTTTATCTATCACGTGAGAAAGTGCTGCTGCAGCTACACTAATGTTTGCTAAGTGTCATGTGCCCAGCCCTGGGATAAACATTCTAACGTGGTGCATTCTCTTGTTCAGTGCTCACATCTCCATATGGTGGGACTATTATTATCCCACTTTTCAGGTGAGCAAATAGAACAACTTAGTTCAGACAAAGCATTTTCTTTCAAAAAGATCTTTTGTAGGCACCAATAAATGACTCAAGTTTAGAACAACATACAACTAGAAGAGAGAATGATTGATTTTGCTGCTTGTCTTTAGTAAAAATAGCAAAAGTGAATGACTCAGGACTATTCAAAGAATGAAAGACACTCACAGCAACAACAATCACAACTGAAGAGGGTCAAAAGCCCTGTCATCCTGAGCAAAATCTACAATTCCACAGTCACGACTAGGGAAGCCTACTCAGTTATATATTTAACTATCTTTACAAGGGCTAATCCACTCAACACACTACCAGCTACCAGGGAGACCAATAAAAGTATTTAGACAGCTGTTAATGTTCATTAATCATAAAATCATTATATTCATTTTCCATGAAATTTGATTTTCATTTTCAGCTTAAGAAAATTATGGTTTATAGTGAATACTGTCGTTATAATTACTTTTAAGCACTTCCTATATGGCTAGAACCGTGATATTTTATATACAACTTTTTCCTCTTAATTGTCACCAACTACTCAGGATGTAAAAGAACTATTGCTAATATCCCCCATTTAGAAATGGGGCTGCATGTAATAAATTTTCCCAAGTTCCCTATTCAAAGGTAACACAAAAATTCAAATCTAGATCTGACCCAGCCCTGTGCACTTAAGCTTGTACTTAATCAAGATCTGACCCAGCTTCATAAAGTTACTTGATTTGTTATTCTTATCTGCTATCCTTGATCAAGCACTAGCTGGCAAGCTCTATTCATTTTAGCTTTACTCTTAATCTTCACTTCCAATACTCTCCCATTTTCAAATATTTCCTCTTCCTATTCCTTTCTGTTTTCTCGACAATATCTAAGAAATTATTATATTTTATCAAACCATATGACAAAAGTTTGCTGCATTAAAGAGATAATATAATTGCTACTCATACTTTTAATCAGTGAGTATAACAACCTCTGTTTTGGTGGCTTGTTCTGCTACTCAAGCAAGCAATAGTAAATGATTCCAGTTCTGCCCAGTATTGTAAAAGTGCAACATGGTTTCTAAAGCCTTCAGCAGCAGTGCAGTTAAAAAACCCACCAGATGTCAATCACCATTCATGTGAATAAGTCACCCCCAACCCTGCTCCTGTGAATGCTCCCTTCTTTCTCTACTGAAACACAAAGCATTGGTAATCATGAAAATGCTTATGCTTCTGAATCTTATGTGGAAATTTTTAATTTGATGGTACACATAATTTTTTATCTTAAAAAAAAAAAGCATTAATACAGAAATTCTGTATTTGCCTCAGTACTTTGGTAAACACCAGGACTATATCTCTGACTCTCTTGACCAATTACTTCCAACTTTTTCCCATACTCTCCTCTCTAACATTTTCCCTCCCATTTACATATCATAACTCACATTTAATTGTCCTAAATGAGTCAACATTACTATATGACAAGAAACAAGAAATCTAAATTTTGAAGATCAGCATTGAAAAAATAAAAAATGATTTTTCTTTATCACTGAAAAATGCTGTCCATGGTATTCATTTCAAGGCTCACCATACCCATTAAAAACCTAAATTACATTCAGAAGTAAATTCTCATTTAGAAAACCATCACCTGGGAAAATCAATAAGTGTCATTTAGATTCCAATGAAAATGTCAGACATTCTTCATAGCTGCTCCAAAGTAGTTATTAAATCAAACACACACACACAAAAAAAAAAAAAAAAAAAAAAACCCTAGTGATTTTTTTTTCCCCCTCCATTTTCGGTCTGGTGGTTTTTATGGGTATCAATTATTTTAGGATTCAGTGATCATCCAAGAATGGTATTTCATCTCTTTGACTACTACCCTACTGCCCATATTTTAACCTCATTGAATTTTTGGTCCATTGCGTAGAAGAATTTCTCTACTAATAAAAATACAACCATTAAAGATTAACTTACCCCCAGGACAGTCTTCTGCAAACAAATTCCAAGCATTATAATCACCAATTTACACTCTGAAGACTTAAAGGCCAACAATCTTATTCAGACTTAAAATGGAAAACCCACACATATTTGAAGGCTATTGTAAAAAGAAAAATAGCCAACCCAAGTTCACAATAATTAGAAACTCAACCAGACAAATATAACCTTTACTACTTGACCCTTTCCAAATGAAAAGTTTTCCGCCCAAAAATAACTAACAAATTTGTTGACTTGCCGGACTTCCTACTATCTTGTTTTCGATTTTGGTTCGGCAATTATGAATTTGCAGAATTCTTCTTTTCCCAGCTATTTATAAAGTATATGCTATATCTTATAAGTTGTGGCAGACACTAGAAACCACTTGAATCCATGATACAATATTTACTATTAAAAATAATAAAAATGGCTGATATTTATGAAGCTCTTATGATTTATTATCACTATAACAAATTTTAGTTTAATAGGCATTATCTCTTTCCATCCTCACAAAAGCCTAAGAGAAAGTTCTAATATTAGCCCCATTTTACATATGGGAAAACTGAGGGCAAGGAGAGGTCTAGAAACTTTCCCAATATTCGGTAGGGATTTGAACCCAGGTCTGAGTGACTCTAGTGCTCACACTTACTATAACCACCTGGTATAAGCAATAAGGCACTTGATTACATTTGGTTCAGGAAACTAGTCATTCCTTGAACAAGGGTGATTCTACATAATTTGATACTGGGAAGTATGCATCATAAAATGTACACTGTGCATTGGGTTCTAGTGTCAAATGTGTTCAAATTTGCATTCATGAAAGTGGTAATTCATTTATAGGTGATTTTGGAAAGTTAATCAAAATATTATGTTCAAAATCACTAAGTTAATATTTTATTATATATAGGTTGCTGAAGAAATGTTAGTTCTATTATCTGTAAAACAAACTATCACTGTAAAGCAATTTTAAACCATTGGACGTCAAAATAACATATCTACAAAGGAGACAGTCTTCAAATTTTAAAAATGCCTCACCCATATTTGATTGTATTCAAAATGAAAATGAACTAACTCAAAAAAAAAACCACTTCTAAAACTGAGATTATACATGTGGGCTTCCTAGAAGGTAACATGACTGCTGTTACTTGTCTGTGCAAGTTAAAAAGGTAAGCATGATATAACATGAGAAAATTTTATTATTAGAAAAAGGCTGGAAAATTTTCACATAACTCCAAACTCATGGAGAGAACAAATTGGAAATTGTTGAAAAGGATGCATAATATATGGTCTTAATTCAATCCAATATATTTTTACAACATAAATTTAATATTTTTATAATCAAAAGCTAGACAAAAAAGAACTATGGAACAAATGAAATTACCAAAATGAGTTACTGAAATGCAATTGAGGCTTTATTTTCCAAAACCACCTGGTAATCGTCTTATTTGAACAGTTTATCACAGGAACAACTCTCTTAGAAAGTTATGTAATTTGAGAGAAAGAGAGACATGAGAAGTATTAGGGATGTTTATCAATAAATATAAGCGACAAGGGAGACTGTAGCACATCCAAAGACTCCTGCCAAACACTCTTGCTATTTGTTTCCACCGAGTTATTATTTTGGAAAACATGTTGTTCTCTCTTAAAATAACCTGCTTAATTGTTCTAAAAAGCCACTGGATTACCACCAAGGGCTAACTTGCTCCCACACTGCGATATACTGACTGATAAAGTCAAAGTAAGTTATGCATACAACCACAAAAGAAAGTTTGGAAAGTTCCAAACCCCCGTGATAAAAGGACACTAGCTACTGAATGAATCTTCATCACCATTGCTTAGTGAGACTAAAGCCTGGTCCTACCACAAATCTTAACAATGATAGTCATTCAAACTACCTCATTTCTCTCTTTGGATGTGGGAACTGAGCCACGCTAGTGGCTTCGAGTAGGCTAGTAATTAACGTTTTTAAGAAAGGTCAAATTGACCTTGGATTTTAGCGTTCACTCAAATCCTCACATTATAAATCAGAATTTGTCCAGTATAATTACAGCTTTTTCTGCCCGGGAAAGTCCCAGAGAAACTAAAGAGTTAAAAAACAAAGACAATATGACCCAAGTTGTGCAAGACAAAGTCAGACACTCATAGCACAGTAAGATTTTTATGAAATGAATGTAACTCATAAGCCTGTTAGGGGATGAACACATACTGTCCTCAAACACAGCGGCACTGCCCCGACACAATCTCCACGCTGTGGCTCTCACCCGATCCCGGTCCCTGACGATGGGGGTGGGGGGCGGGCGAGGGAGCTCCCGTCTTAAGCCATGACATCTGCAGAGCGTTTCCCAATAGGGAGAGAAGGCCCCTCAGCTGGAGGAAGTGGATACTGACAGGGGGAGAAAGCGAAACATGCAAGAAAGAAACAAAACTAGAATTCTAGGAGGCCCGGGAGTGAGACGACAGACACGCTCACTCTGGCGGTCCGAGTGCGTCTGGATGACACAGCCCAGGTGTCCGGGCTCAAGTTGGCATCCGTCTCCAAAGTCTAGATCACAACTTGGGCGCGCTCGTACAAACACTCGGCCTTCAGCTCTTCTGAGCCCATCAAGTTAGCCAAGGGCCCCGGTGCCTGGAGACCTGAGAGGCGTGGAAGGGTAGGGAGCCCCGCGAGGTCCCCATTCCCTGTGTCTTCCGGCCCGCGGGGGAGGGGGCTGGGAAGCTAAATCGGGTGTGGGCCCGAGTAGCGGGACCTGGGGCGGAGATGTCCGGAAAGGAGTTGGGGGCTCAGCCGGGGAGTCCAAGGACGCGGGGGGATGCCTACCTTGTAACATGGCCTCAAGTTTCTTCCTGTCCACGCGGAAGCGCTCTTCGCTCCACTCGGGGCTGTGCAAGGGCGCTCCGGCGACCAAGTCGTCCTCGGACCCGGGCATGGGCGAATCGGTGCTGCGCTCACTGTTGGAGCCCGGGTCCGACTGTGCCGCCAGGTAGCCGGGCTCGCCCTGGGCGGCCATGGTGGGCGAGGGGCGCTGAGGCTCCGGCTGCTGCCGCCGCCGCTCGGGTTGCGCCGCCGCCTCCACTCGCCGGCCGGGCTGGACTGGGTCCGCGCGCCGCGGCGCTAGCTCGTCCCCCAGCAGCCGCCGACGCTGCCGCCGACGCCGCCACCTCGGAACCCCCGGCGCATCCCAGCCCCGGACGCCGCCCGCCGCCCCGGGTCGCAGCCCGGGTCCTGGGCCAGTGGCTGCGCCGCCCCCTGCCAGCAACGCCCGCGCGGAATGAGCGCGCCGCGCCGCCCGAGCCTCCATCCGCTGGGCCCCCGGCGCCCCTTCCCCGCCCGCCGCCCCGGCAGCCGCGCGCTCATTGGCCCGACCGGCCCACGGGGAGCCGCGGCGGGCGGGCGGACGCGCGGGCGGACGGCCCCCGGCGCTCACTCACACTCGCGCGCACACACAGAACACGTACACACTACTTTTTGCGCCTACACATATAATGCCTGCCACGCTCAAGTACTCTCACAGCTCTTCAAACACTCAACTACAAGCACAGCACATTCTTGAATGCACATATAGTTCCTCATCCACACACTTCACTTACACCCTACCGCTTTTCTACACTTCCACGTACAAATTCCAGCCCCATACATACTCTCAAAGTCCTCCTCCAAACAGACATATACCAAATTGAAGCAATGCATACTCATGAAATGCACACGGAGTGCGTATACAATTCCTGTTCTATTCAAACACCCACAGTTCATCCTGAAACTCACAGCCCCAGTGTGTCTCACAAGTTTGAACAGGAGGAGTGAGAAGAGAGAAGGCTTAAATAGAGGAAAAAAAAAAAAAACCGACTTTCATCTTTCACAGACATCACTATGGACAGCTTACATGTAGCTCATTCTTCCAGTCAAGGTTCAAACCCAGAGTCTTCATCTCAGCAAAGTGACCCACTAGAAAGGAGGTGGACTAGAGACTTAAATCTTTTTATTCTTAGGAAAGGGGATTTTTTTTTCCTTGAATGGAAGGAGAAATGCGTGATATTTCTTTGTAATTCTCAAGGAATGGACTCAACAGATCAAAAAAAAAAAAAAAGGAAGAAAAGAGGCTGGGAGATCACAGTGGTGGTTAGCTGGATACACTTGGCTTCTGGACAGGGCTGTCTGGTCAGTGAAGGAGGGCTCCTTTCTGTTCTCAAGATCAGTCTCACAGTTGATGGCCGGTAACCACTGATCCTAACTGCAGAGCCAGTCCACCCACTGCCTCTTTCAAACTTGGATATGAAGAACCAGGGAAGAGAAGACAACTCCCTTACACCAGGTGTGCCCCTTGGAACTCTCCTTCCAACCTCACACAGATTCATACCCTCTTTTGTTTTATGACCAAAAGCATAAAAGATTTTTTTTATTCCTGGGAGGAGGGTGGAGATAGTAGTCTGTCACTCTGTGGAGGGAGGCTTACTGGCTTACCTGTGGGGCAAGCCATATCATTGGCATGGGCCTGTGGATAAACATGTAATATGCTTAAGGTAGATCAAAATTTTTACAGGTTCAGTGTCTTGTTAATAAGATTTGACTCTGTGTGGGGTACCTTAGTGTAATTTACAGATGAGAAAATAGACTATGAAAAGTTAAATGATGTAACTTTAGGTCATACAGCAGCACATAATGCAGCAGGAATCAAACCCAGGCCCATGTGTCTAATACATGATCTCCACAAAATCCTATCTTGTTAAACAGAGAAACTTCCTACTCAGAATGACCTTCTGATGAACTGAAATTAGATGCACCTTTCACTGCTCCCATTTACTACCACGTGTTCCTTCTCTGGACTTATTAATTTTTATTTGATTACTCTGAAAGACACTAGTTTCAGCACCAAAAGGGTCTGTCTAGGACTAGCCCCACTGCCTTCCATCAGGGATGTTTACCATCTTTTCTGTTGACAAATATTTATTGAGACTCTACTATGTTCAGGTGCTTTACACTTAACCAGTAAGCTATTCTTACTGTCAACAAAATTAGTACAAGCAAAGACCCTGTAGCCAGAGGAGGCAGTATGCATAACTCAGTTTATGGAACTAAAAGAAATCAGAATGACTGGAAACAAGACATTAGATGGTACTCACTGAGGAAGGTGATGAAAGTAAGAGGTAGAGCATGTGAGCACTATAGAGCAAATGAAAAAGTTTTTGTTTTTATCCCTAGAACAAAAGGAATTTATACAAAGGCTTTAAGTAAAAGATGATGTTCTTAAACTTGTATTTTAAAAACTTGACTGTCATTATGGTGTGGAGAACAGATTCAGAGAGAGAATAGAAGTAGTTGGACCAATTAAGACACTATCAAGAAAAATATGGTGGCACATGCCTATAATCCCAGCAACTCCGGAGGCTACCGGAGGCTAAAGATTGTGAATTCAAAGTCAGCCTCAGCAACTTAGCAAGGCTCTGAGTACCTTTTGTCTCAAAATAAAAAATTAAAAGGGCTGGAGATGTGACTGAGTGGTTAAGTATCTCTGGATTCAATACCTCATACAAAAAAACAAAAAAGGTTTAGATCATGCTGGTATCTTATCCAGGTGATAAAGATGGAAAGACAAACATTCAAATATTTTTATGGTATCATCAATTAGATTGGTGGTAAGTTGGATATTGAGTGATGGGAAAGGTAATGTCAAGAATTTCTGTAGTGCTCTGGCTAACATAATCAGAGAGACATGGGTGCCACTAATTGAAACAAGAAATAATGGAAGAGAAATACTGTGAAGGAGAGATCATGGAGTTGAATTGGGCATATGGAATATGAGGCACCACTGAGACCTCCAAGAAGATGTGTCAAGTAAGTAGTTGCATATGTGGGTTTAGAGTTCAGTTAAAAGATCTTGGCCAAAGAAGTTAGTTCTTTATATACTTATAGGTGACAGCTTTAGCCTTATGTGTGAGTAGGACTGAGGAAAGCAGAAAAAAAAGAGAACCAAGGAAAGAGCCTTTTAAAAATTCTGACATTTAGTGGTTAAATAGAGTTCAGTGTAATGTGAAAGAAAACAGAAGCAGCGGAAAGAAGAATGAAAATCAAAACAAATAACATCTTGTTGTATAAGCCCAGGAGAAAATCTGTTTCAGAAATTAAAGTATGAATATCTGTACTATAAGGGAAGCCAACATTTTTATTAAGGTCACTAAGACTTTAGCAAGAAAGAAGAATGGAATGGTGAAGTAGATACAGTTAATGAAAGAAGAGATCATGAGCTAAAAATAATATGATAGAGGGAGTACTGTTTGTTGTTTATTGTTTCGTTGGTTGGTTGAATGGTTAACTTGATGGTTTTTGAAGGTTTGAGCATTTTTAAAGATGATTAGAAAAGATTCAGTTAACAGAAATTGTCTATTCAAAAAAAGAAGAATAGATACTATAAGACTTTGAGAACATGAATAGAATAGATTCCAAGACACAAGCTGAGGGAAAAAAAAAACAAAACAGCTCATTAGGTGAATAGACAAATGTAAGACAGTTTGTAGGTTTCACTTCTAGAATATAAGGAAATTCCCATCTAAGGGCTTTTATTTTCCCAAAAGATAAAAATTAAGGTTTTCTGCTATGAGTGTGGGGAAAGTACAGCTATCAGAGATTTGAAGGAAATAAGCTGTTTCACTTTGCTTTTTTGAGAGGTTCTAAAATACACTTTTATCTGTAAAAGGATGGACTGGCATTTTTGAGGGTCCAATTGATGTTGATAATGATACATTGCTAATGAATCAGACTTCTTGACCTGTGTTTTTCCTCAGTAGTGCTCAGCTTTATGGATGTAGGCACAATAAGAATATAGGAGTCTTGCCAGATTGATAAAGCACCAAGGCCCAGAAGACAATGGAGCAGTGTCTCATGGGAAAAACACTTCCAATGTAGAAATTTATACCCAGCAAAACTATCAACAGAACATGAAGTTAACACTTATTCTTGGATATTAGGAATCTCAAAAAAAGTATTTTTCTCACAACCTGTCTGAGATAGCTGCTGAAGATTGTGTGCCACTAAAATTAGAGATTAAATCAAATGAAGAGAAAATATAGAATACGGAAAGTAAAAGATATGGCAAATGACAAATGGTAGAGGCAAAGGAGTACCTTGGGATGATGGTGCAAGAAGAATGCAAATTTGAATAGGTCAGAAGTCTTGAGGTTGTAATTTCCCCTAGATTAAATAGAATTTGTGAAGTGTATGAACATATTCAGAGAAGATTGAAAGAGTAAAGACTATGGAGTTAAATTAGTGATTGGTTCATAGAAAACTGTTAAAAAAGGAACACAATATTAACTTCAAATTTAACAAAATATTATGCAGAAGAGTCAGAGTAATCAGAGAATATGCAATGTGACTGAGCTATAACTAGCATTTATGCAGTTATAATAATGTAAACCATGAATATTGATCTAACCTAAATTAAAATATAACTAGATTAGGAATCTGGGATATTGAGAAGTGTGCATGTGTATATTGTGGACTTTGTGTATGGGAGGTGACAGTGGTTAAAAAAAAAGAAACCTGGTTTTTTTTTTGTTTTTTGTTTTGGTGGTGCTAGAGATCAAACCCAGGGCCATGTGCATGCAAGGCAAGCACTCTATCAATTGAGCTATATTACTCCAGCCCAAAATATCGTTTTTAATAGATAATGGCTAAGACTTTAAAAATCAAGAAGTAGCAATATAGGTACATTATTTGCAGACATAGAAGTAAAAATAGAATCAAGCTAAAAGTTTTGGACATGGTTGCGTATAGAAAATGGAAAATGGCCAGAAGAGCCATATGGTATTTCTGATTTTTATATAAGTCTTCTAGAACAATTTGATTCTTTAAACCATACTGGTGCATACTTTAATTTTAGAGAACCAAATAAAGTAACACATGCATATTATACCATCATTGAAATGAAAAATAAATTGCAGAGCCTTGAATTCATGACTTCTGAATCCTGTGCTCTTTCCTCAAAAATTAAACAAGTTAAAACAGTTGACAATC